ACCTGTTGGGGCCTGACCACAAAAAATTGGTTACCAGTGTGTCAGGCAGTCTGGACTTTCCAATGACATTAAGATGGTATCCTTCAAAGGAGTAGCAATTCCTTTTCTATATTGTTGGATCTTCAGGTTGGTAATTCTACAATTTTCGTTTCCTGAAAGCCTGAGTCGGCTTGTGAAACAACATGCTAAATGTGAAATGTCAACTCTAAACTTTCCCAGTTCAGAGCATCAAGTGAAGACTTCATTAGATTTTATAGTGACTTTCTGATTTTGGTAGTCCATTGAAGAAGGGCGTTTGGAAGTTGTTGTATATTTGTCTGCCTCTGTCCTGCCTGAAATACCATGATTATGCAAAGTATCTTTAATAAAGCTGGATACAGTTTGCCTTGGGGAAAAAAAAGAATGATAGGTAAATAAAAGATACCAAGTTATCTAAAATGGAAAAAAAACAACTATGTTTATGTATGTAATTAATTTTTGAAAAGTCTTAAAATATCCATGAAGATTTCTTAAACTTGAAAGAAAAACTGAAATTTGGGAGGGTGACTTCTGAAGAGTGAAGAGGAACATGAGAGGAAATACAGAGTTGGGCCAGCTTTATACTTAGTGGTTAAAGGAGCTGGACCTTACATGGCTGACCATGCAGTTCAAATTTTGGCCCTTGTTGCTTGAAAAACACTCCTGGTACAGGTGCATGCATGCCCCAAATCCTGACAGGGTAGAGAAATGAAGAGTTGTGTGACCAACCCCACTGAGGGAGTGCTTTCTTCCCCCCCCACCTTCGGTGAGTGCATACCCCTTTCACAAGTTGAAAAAGATAAAGTATACATGATATCAGTTTTATCCATTATTGTCTTAGTTTTATGCATCTTTAAGCTTAAAAGAAATGTTGATTGAGAGTCTGGCATCTGATATCACAGTGTACTTGAATATTTGTAGAACCTGTGAAGATACAATAGTAGCAGGAACCAGTTTTATACTCTCTTGACCAACTCCTGTAGAGGATAACTTTAATGTTTATGTTTATCCTAGACCTCTTAGTTTCTTAAAAAAAAAAAAAAAAAGGAAAATTATTACATTTTAATCTTTAATGTCATAAAGAGCTAGCTAGATCTTATATATAATAACAGATACAGAAACATGAAAAATCTTGGTTAAGCATGAAAAATAATTACCTGACAGAAAATAAGTAATGTTAAACTAAATGTTTCCGTACTCTTGAACCAGAATTCTAGGCACAATTGTTGGTGTAATGCATTGCTAAGGGATGACATGAAATTTCCTCCTCTGAAAGTCCTAAAAAGTAGATTTGATTGAAGACCTCACTCTTACCCTCTAAGTCAGTGTTGAATACTCAGATGCCCTATGGCCGATGGGTATGTAAAATATGGTCCTTCTCTCAAGGAGCTTACAGTCTGTTTTATTGTTACTGCATCTTGCTTCAGAAACTTGGAGAAGCTGATATATACAGGGAATGGTGAGTTTATTTTTAAAAAACTGTGACCAGCCCTTTTTTGTGTGTTTCTTACTACAATAAAAACAAATAAACAAAAAGACCTAACTTGACTGTTTGACAAAAAATAAGTTAGAAAAGTTTTTGTTTTATTATTTTTTAAAAAGTTATAGCCAACTTTTCAATATTCGTGGTTATAGGAACATAGATGGTTTAGACAGAGTCAAGGAAAAGATGCCAAATGCCAATTTATCCCTATTGGCAACTTTTTTTTTTTTTTTCAGGTTTTTGCACTGGAGCATTTGTGCTCCCCACAGACAGGGAGAAAAGTGAGAAATCACTCTTTGGGGGAATGGCCATGCCACAGCCCCTCTCCATTCTCTTCTTGTGACCAAGGGTGCGTGTGCACACACTTATGCCCAGTGTTTCCCAAGTTACCAGGTTTAGAACTCGAACCTTAGAGTCAGCTGTGTGGAATCTGGCCCTTTACATGCCATTTGCTGACCCAGCACTTCTTTTTGGATGAACATTTTCTGACTAAGTCTTCTAGAAAATAAAGCTTTTAAAAAAGTTGTATCAGGGGCTGGATGGTGATATGGTGGTTGAGGCAGTTGGATCCCATGTGGCAGGCTGTGCAGTTGAGTCCTGAACTTGGTTGCTTGAGAAACATGCCAGGTACCTGTGCATGCATGCCCTAAATCTCAAAAGGATAAATAATGAGAAGGGATTGTGGTGTGATCATCACCCATGGGGGATGCTTTGTCACTTTTCTTCTCTCTCTCTCTCTGGTAAGTCCACGCACCCTCTAGCAAATTCTTTAAAAGGCCATTCTAGGGGGCCAGCAGGTGGCATGGTGGTTAAGGCGCAGGACTCCCACATTACTGACTGTGGGTCAAGTTCCAGACCTGGTGGCTTCAAAATCATTCCAGGCACATGTGTATGTGTGCCCAAAATCCCAGGAGGAGATTGGAACAGAAGTGATTGTGGTGTGACCATTACCCCTTGGGGGGTGATTTCTCACTTTCCCTCTCACTGTCTCTCTCTGGTGAACACATGTGCCCTATGGCAAAAACCTAAGAAAAGTCATTATAGAATCTTAAAATGTCTTTTTGGTATTCTTAAATTCTAAGTAAGAAATGCTATGAAATTGAGATGAAATGACTAGAAATTGGTAGACATATAGGGAAGAGGGGAAGGACCAACTGGGATAATCCACAAAATCAGTTATCAGTCTCTGTAGTTCTAAAAATTAAGTATAGTTTGCTGACTAACTTGATAACTAACGAGTATCCCATTTTTTCTACCTATTGGTACAAAACAGTGAGACGGTTTAAGCGGAAGCATCTTACAGCCATCGACTGCCAACATTTGGCTCGGAGTCATTTGGCTGTGACCCAGCCCTTCTGTCAGAGATGGACAAACAGAGATCCGAACCATGGTCTCTATCCTAGACCCAGAACAAAAAGAGGGAGTAGGGGTATGTCTTTACAAAAAAAAAATCTTGCATTTCAAAATCTGTAGCTTGTGTGGCCTTTGAATATCTCCTAGTTTAAAGGTATTTGTAAATATTACTGCTTTTTTTTTTTTGTAGTCCTACTGTAGGTAATAGTTTGACACTTTTTATTATTTGTGAATTTTCCATGAAAATTCCATCTATTATAATGGCTGGTAAAATTCTGTCATACTGTAATGGTTAGTAGAAGCCCCAGGAAAATATGATAGCATGAATTCCATTAACTTACATAATTTTATAGTGATAGAGAGGGCATGGGCCATTGTCACCATTTTTTAAATCCATAAACATTCTTGTAACTAGACCAACTTCATTGGCCTTTCTTACAACTAGATGAACTTCACTGGTCTTTGTCAAGTCCACTAGGTCTACCATGTCATTTTTCCTACAAAATATTCTTTTACCCAGCTTTAATGGTACAATGTGCCTTTTGTCACCTAGCATCTGGACCACTGTAATGACCCTTCTCCTTGACTTTAGATTTTGTATATTCCAAATCAACTGCAGCATATGTCATTAAGTTAATATTCTTGAATGTAGTTTTCTATCATATCACAGTCATTCTCAAGAACCTACAGTAAAAATGTTTCCCTATCACTGTGATGGACACAAGCTCATGCTTTCCGTCATCTGGTATTTATTATTGATAAATGAAAATTCTACTTTTAGTAGTTTGGTTTTCTTATTACTCCTCTATGCATCAAATGAATCTCTACTTGCGTTAATACATATAAATCTCTACTTGTGTTAAATATATAAATATATATAAATAATACCTGTTGGCATAATCTATGTAGATTGCTGTATTCCCCTTTGATGTAATTCAAAATCAACTCAAATGTTATTTCTAATCTTCTTTAAGTACTGCAATACGTGTTTGTCACTTTTGGAACTACTATAGTCAGTAACGTAATCATATATTGTCTGATCATTTGTTTCATGTGTAAGTCAGCTTCTCTGTTGTGAGTTCCTTACTGACAAGGATTTTGTGAGCATGTACTGAGCATGCAGTTAAGTAGGCTCAGCACACACAGTTGGTGTGACCAAATTCAGGTCTTACTGACTTTGGAACTGAGTTTCTATCATATTCCCCCAGAAACATTTGTCATTATTTTTTCGCTAATATGACTTTCAGTTCTATAAATTCTGTTAAAGACCACACCTAGTTTCAGTCTATTCTCTTATTTTACAAGGTGACAACTTGGGAAACCAATTTGAAAACAAGTCATGTATATTGACAAAGTGTTTAAATACCTCATTGGCATTTTAAAATTATTTTTTAGGGATTTGAAAGTGTTGTGGTGGGTGAAGTCAACATTTAGATTCCCCAACATGCCTGGAAAGTCTGTGAGGTCAGGGATCAAATAATTTTTTCACTTTGTGTTCGTCTCAGAATCATAGGTGCTTAGTAATGGCCAATTGGAGAAATGCATTGAAGAGACTAGGTACCACTCCAATAATGTGAAAAAAATTCTGACTCCTTTTTTATTTTGAAACATTAATATACTAGCTTCACAAGAAAAAAAATAAGTTAAAAAAATTTTTTTGACTCTGTTAAATGAAAAGAATAAGATTTTTTAATCCTGCCTGATAACCTGAAGCATGTTTCTAATTATTTTAGCAAACTTAGACTTTATTGCAGGATCAAGTGAGAAGAGGTGTGTTTGTAAATACAGGTGTGAATGTAGACACCTGTCTCCTTTCTGTCTGTCCATGTAAGTGTCCATTGTACAGTGTGTCACTCTATGCTTGTAGATATTGCGGAGTGTAATGTGAGTCATCAGACCACCTAGAGACTGGTCTCTGTTTCTTCCCTAATGTGGGTCTGAATATATGATAAAGCCAATTATACATATACATATCTATATATGTTTATGTATATTTGGATTATCTACTCATATAACCTACTGACTCCAAACTATTGCTTTGTCTATTAACATTGATAATTGAAAATTGGTTGGACCTATGAGTGTCAACCACAGGTCAGCAGTAAACCGTTGAATCTCATCCATTGTGTTTGGGTTCTTACTACAGGTCAAGGATGTCAGAGATACATCTCTGAGTTCTTCCCATCTGTCCGGCAGCAGTGCACCAATGACATGGCCAAAAGCAACTCTGTTGGCCAGGACAGTTGTCAGAACTCTGAGAGTGACATTATCTTCCCTGCAGAGAGCAGTTGTGCCCTACCTAGGGAAAGTGATGGAGAAGACAGATTAGGCTCATCAAGATCTGTTCCATCCACCAGGAAGCGGTCTCGGTCCTTTGAAGAAGAGGACAGTCAGGCTACAGGGACCAGCCAGGGACATGGAGTTTCTAAGACCCCACGACATCATTTGTCCCTGTCATGCACAAGGCCTAGGGAGATCAGACAGGAAGCAGGGGACTGTTTGTCACGACTCTCTGCAGAGTCTGGAGAAACTGACCTCGAAGTTGAAGACATTGGTCCTGATCCCATCCCTGACTCATACTATGGACTTCTTGGGACCTTACCCTGCCATGAAGCACCAAGCCATATCTGTAGCCTGCCCAATGAAGTCCTGAGGCATATTTTTGCCTTCCTCCCTGTGGAAGACCTTTATTGGAATCTGAGCCTGGTGTGTCACCTCTGGAGGGAGATCATCAGTGACCCTCTGGTGAGTAAAGGGTTTAGAGGTGTGGGATGATTTCTGTAAAGGAACATCGGAAATATGCACTAGTTTCATTTAGTTATGCATACTTCTGATTAGAGGAGCTCTTCAGAAGTGGTGATTTCCATTTGCCTTCCAAACTTCTTAGAGGTATTTAAGGCCTCCTGTGTTGTCTCACTATAGTCCAGTTCACTTCTTCTCAATACATCCCTGTATTCTATCCTAATCCTAGATTGCACATTTCTTAACCTCCATAGGTTGCTCTAATCTCACTCCCCCATCCAAGGGCCCCTCATATCTCTGTTGGAGTCTTACCTGTTCTTCAAGACTTATTACTGCTTTTTTTTTTTTTAGGTTTTTGTCATAGGTCATGTGAGCTTGTCAGAGGAGAGACAGAAAGAGAGAGAAAGTGAGAGGGAAAGTGAGAAGTGACCCCTCAGGGAGGATGACCATGCCATACTCCCTTCTCCATTCTCCACCTAGAATTTTGGGAATGCATGCACACATGCCTAGTGTGATTTTTATACCACCAGTTCTGAGACTTGAACCACTGTTGACCATGTGGGAGTCTTGCACCTTACCCATCATCATGCCACTGCTGGCCCAAGACTTAACTCTTTTTTTTTTTAAATTTCATTTGTTATTTTTTTACTTGATCTGAGAGAGAGAAGGGGAAAGTGAGAAAACAAGCCACCAGGTCTGGGACTTGATCCACTGTCGACCATGTGGGAATTCAGCACCTTAATCACCATGCCACCTGATGCAAGATGTAACTCTTTTTAAAAATATTTATTTACTTTAGTTTGGCCAGAGAGGAAGGACAGAGAGAAAGTGAGAAAGCAAGCTATTGGGTCCAGGACTTGAAATGCAGTTGGCCATGCGGGAGTCCAGTGCTTTTAAACTACCATGCCACCTCCTGGACCCTAAGACTTAACTCTTATACTCATTATACCTTTCCATTTCATCCTGTTGAAGTAAATCACTTTTTCTTCTTTGTGCTACTTTGGCAATTTAGACCCCTGTTAAAGAATTTATGGGGCCAGGGAACCAGCAGTTAGCGTAATGGCTATGTCTCTGGACTCCCACGTAGTCGACCGCGGTTCACGTCCGGGACCCGGTGGCTTAAAACTCACGCCGGGCACGTGTGCATGCGTGCCCAAGATCCCGAGAGGAGAATGGAGGAGAAGGGATTGCGGCGTTTGACCATCCCCTCTGGGGGTGATTTCTCGCTTTCTGTCTCTATGTCTCTCTCTGTCTGTCTGGCGAGCACATGTGCCCTATAGCAAAAAAAAAAAAAAAAATTTATGGGGCCAGTCATTGACATATTGGTTAAGGTAGCTGAATCGCACATGGCTGACTGCGTAGTTCTAGTCCCAGACCCAGCAATCTAAAAAACATGCTGAGTATGTGTGCAAGTGTGCCCAAAATCCTTAATAGTGGGAGGAATGGAAAATAAGAGATTGTGACACAACCATGGAGACTGCTTTCTCACTTTCCCTCTATCTACCTTTCTGTCTCTCTCCAATGAGCACACATGCCCTCTAGCAAATTCAAAAAATAATTTATCACATACTGCATGACAGTTTAGAGATCATTCCTCCCTACTTTTTAAATTATGAAGCTCATGATTTAAGCTGGTTATGTTATGTGTTGAAGGCTGGTGTATATTTGCTTTTGTGTTCTCCACTGTGCCTTACAATTTTTTTTTTTTACGTGTAGTGAGTGACTATCAAATGAATGTGTACCTGGAATACCTTTCGAAACATACAGGGGAAACCTACACTCTCAGAAAAGATTTCTTGGTGCTGTAGTTAGTTTTTTACTGCTCTGGTCTCTTGCCCTTTCCTTTGTTGTTCAATTATACTTTTTCCCCCAGTATATTCAGATTCTCATGTAAACATGAGGATTGGGAGAATGTTTAACTTAGTTCATATATCTCTTAGACTAGCGATTGGTAATAAACCAGAGATAGGGTAAATCTCCCTTTAACTATATTAGAGTTTAAATATAATAGAGATGAAGTGCAATATAGATTTACTCAAGACAGTACATTTTCTTCTTTCTTTCTCCCTTCCTTTCTCTTCTTAACTTTTTCTTCTAATTACAGAAGATTTTTGAGGAAATTACATGGCGCTCTAGTTCTGGTCTTTGCTGAGCCTCTTTCTGAGAAATACTTTTCTGCTTTTAGATATTAACACTGTTTATGTCATAGTATTTCTGCCCCTGAATTGAGATCTCTCTGATGTGAACTGAGTAGTCCCAGATGAGAATGGGTGAGGGTTTTCTCCATGTTGTTTGAGAAGACTTCTGGTACAAAAGTCTTTTGGTTTGTACTTACCTCTTGAAGTGTTAAAGCAATGCCATTTTTATCATCACTAACAATAATATATCTGTTTTCAGTGGTCTCTCTTAGCTCTCATATTCTTTTCTCATAATGTCTTTATCTAGTTTAATGCTCAGCTGATAAAGTGTGTTTGGAAGTGCTTCCTTCTCTTAAATTTTTGGAAGAATATGATGAGCATTGGTATTCATTCTTTTTTCTAAAATATTTATTTAATTTTATTTATTCATTCATTTTTATTTTAATTTGGCCAGAGAGAGATACACAGAGAGAGAAGGAAAGTGAGAAAGCAAGCCACCAAGTCTGATATTCGAACCACAGTTGGCCATGTGGGAGTGTCCAACGCCTTAACCACCATGCTACCTGCTGATCCCCCGGTATTCATTCTTTAAATGTTGAGCAGAATTCTCTAGATAAGTCATCTGGTCCTGATATTTTCTTTACCATGAGGTTTTGTTTACCCATTCAATCTCCTTAACTCTGGTAGGTTCAGATTTTCTATCTCTTTATGATTTAGTCTTGGTGTATGTTATATATGTTTCTAGGAATTTATCAGTTTCTTCTATGTTATCCAATTTGTTGGCTTAAGCACAGTTCATAGTATTATAATCCTTTTATTTCTGTGGCATCTGTTGTAATGTCCCTTCTTTCATATATGATGTTAGGTATTTCTTTTTTCTTAGTCTAGCTAAATGTTGATTTTATTTTTCAAAAAACTAATTCTTGGGGGTCAGCAGGTGAGTGATGGTTAAAGTGCTGGACTCCTCCATGGCTGACTATGGTTTAAGTCCTGGACGTGGCAGTTTGCTTTCTTAATTTCTTGTCTCTCTTATTCTCTGTCTCTCTTTGGTGAGTACATGTGATCTATAGGGAAAAAATATATAAATAATGATAAATGAATAATTAAAATAAAACAAAAAAATTCTTACTCCATTAAAAAAAATTATTTATTTAATTTTATTTATTCATTCATTTGTTTTAATTTAATGAGAGAGAGACACAGAGAAAGAGGGAAAGTGAGAAAGCAAACCACCAGGTCTGGGACTGAAACCGTGGTTGACTATGTGGGAGTGTCCAGCACCTAACCACTATGCCACCTGCTGGTCCCCTCTTACTCCATTTTTTCATCTCATGAAGTTTTGAGGTATATGTACTGACATGTTTTTTGATACTGGAACTGGAATTCAAACTGCAGTCAACCATATGGAATCCAGTTCCTTATGCATAGCACTCAACCACTGCACTATTGGGTTGGTCTTAATTTTGTTGATTTTTTTTTCTGTTTTTTATTTTTCTATTTGATTTATTTATGTTCTAATCATTAATTTTTCCACTTTTCTGCTACCTTTGGGCTGTTTGTTCTTTTAATAGCTCCTTGAGGTGTAAAGTTAGGCTATTGAGTTCAGATTTTTATTCCTCTTTAATGTAAGTGTTTATATCTATAAATTTTTCTCTTAGCACTGCTGTCACTGCACCCTATGAGTAAGTTGTTTTAAGTTTTGATTTTCGTTTGTCTCAAGGTATTTTCTAATTTTTATGATTTCTTTAACCTAATGGTTGTTTTAAGAATATGTTGTTTAATTTCCATGTGTTTGTGGACTTTTAATTTTCCTTTTGCTATTGATTTCTGGTTTGTTCTGTTGTGATTGAAAAAGATACTTTGTATAACTTCAGTCTGATTTCTTAAGACTTGTTTTATGGCTAACATGTGACCTATCCTGGGTAATGTTCTATGTGCAGTTGAGAAGAATAAGAATGTATATTTTGCTGTTGTTAGGTGAAGTATTCTGTATGGCCATAAGGTCTATTTATAGTTTTGTTGTAGTGTTCTAGTTTCTTAGCTTCTGACTGGTCTTCCATGGGTCATGAAATTGGAGTTTTGAAGTCTCCTGCTATTGTGTTGCAATATATTTCTTCCTTCAATTCTGTAGATTTTTTTCTTTATTTAGGAGCTCTGATCTTTGTTGCATATATATATATTTATAATTGTTATGTCTCTTTTTGGTGAATTGATTGCTTTATCATTATATAATGTCCTTTTTTGTCTGTTGAAGCAGTTTTTCACTATTTTAGTGTAGCTCCAGCTTTGTATTCTTTTATTCTTGTTGAAACTCTGAGCTGTGGGTATTCTAATGTTTAAGGTAGTGAAGCTGAAACACTAGCTTCTCCCAGATTCTATAACAAGTTATTGTTTGAACTAAGACTAAGACCAAGTTCTTCTAGCTTCCAACCAACTTTTGCATAATACTTCTACCTGGCATTGCTCAGCTTTCGAATTATGAGCTATAATTACTTCTCAGTCGGTAGAAGATTATCTTTGTGTTTGTGGCAAAATCTGTTTTCTGATAGCCATTACCTGCATGTAATTTTGGATTTTTAAAAACTATATAGTTTATTCCTTGGAAAAAGCTGTATCATCGATACCTGATGAATGATGAGCAAGCTGTCAGCAAGGTGGATGGTATCCTTCTGAACTGCGGCATAGAGAAGGACTCAGACCTGTGTGTGCTGAACCTCATACGGTGAGTTCCCTTTTTTCTATAAAGAAAATGGTTTTTGAAGCCTTTCCTGCAAGTCAGTGCTCACGGTCCTCTTTTTATGGACTTTTCTGTGAATGCTTACAGATATACAGCCACCACTAAATGTTCCCCGAGTGTAGACGCTGAGAAGGTGCTGTGGAGCCTGCGGGACCATCCCCTCCTTCCTGAGGCAGAGGCATGTGTGCGTCAGCACCTACCCGACCTCTATGCTGCTGCTGGGGTATGTTAAGAGGCTGTGGAGGTCATGGGAAAAAGCAACATCTTTTTTTCCCCAGAAATTTCTTTCATTTATTGGTAATTTAAGTTCAGCTAAAGATGACTTTACATTTATATTAAAATCTTTATTTAATCTGAATGTTTTGAAACACTAGTCTTGTTATTGGTCCCATAGAGAAATAAAAGGCCATATAATTACAGATCCTTAAATTTGGAAGGAATTTTTAAAAACATTTAGGTCTGTTTATGACCTAGCCACAGTGGCATAGTAGTAGCACAATACTCTGCAATGCTGGAGGCCATCTGGAAGATTGGAGTTCATTTCCTGGGTCAGTCTGCACACACTGGGCATATACTTGTTACCCATTATCCTGGCTGGTTGGGAAAGGCCAGAGGGATCATGGCTTGAGGCCTCATGGGAGTGCTTATCTTTCTTTCTCTGTCTCTCATGAAATAAGCAAAACACTTTAAGAAAAAAACTAATAGCATTTAGTCTAATTTCTGATTCTGTTGAGCAATTATCTCAACACCTGAAGCTCTGAACACTTTGCATAATGAAATTATTTAATAAAATAGCCTATTCTGTTTTTAATTTAATTTAATTCTATTTTTTTTTTTATACTCAGTCACTATATATCACTTAGCTAAGACATCCTTTTCTATAGTTGCTAATTTTGGTTATTTGAAAGGAACAGAGAAATTAAGAGTCCTGTTACAGACACATGGTGAGATATTGAGATGCTAGAAGTGCCCTCAGGTTCCTGAATCTCTCCCCTTTGGTTCCTCATGCAGAACAAGGGTTCTTGGATTTTATTCTAGAAGTGACATGCAACCTCAGACTGTATTCTGTGGCCACAGGAAGTTGGAAATCCAGGAATCAGCATTTCTCTTTCTGTCTTAAGTAAAATTGACTGCTAATGGTGGTGGCATGAGTGGCACAGGGTGGTCACAGTGAGAGAGGGGCATGAAACTTTCTTTTTTTGAAATGCATTTTTTAAGAGGTTTTTGCTATAGGGCACACGCACTTGCCAGAGAGACAGAGAGATCCAGACAGAAAGCAAGAAATCGCTCCTCAGGGGGATGACCACGCCACAGTCCCTTCTCCTCCATTCTCTTGGGATTTGGGGCACATATACACATGTACCTGGTGTGAGTTTTAAGCTGCTAGTTCTGGGACTCGAACTACGGTCAACTATGTGGGAGTCCAGCAATGTAACCATTATACCATCTGCTGGTCCCTGGAATGTATTCTTTAAAAGGGAGACTTGTAGTAGTATAAGAATGAGAAAGATATGGGCCAGCTGGTGGCATGGTGGTTGAGATGCTGAACTTCCATATGGCTGACCACAGTTTGAGTCCCAGACTTGGCAGCTTGCTTTCTCACTTTCTCTATTTCTCTCTGGTGAGCATATAAGCCCGTCAACAATTAAAAAATAATCATAAATAAAATAAATAATAATTAGAAAAAGAATGAGGAAGATATGTCTATTATTGACTATTTTTGTTAGCAAATGTTTATTTACTTAGACATTACTAAATGGAGCATGCTGTCTTTACAAAGTACATTTTAGCAGTTTAATGTTTATTTAATTTGAGGTTTAATAATAAATAATAAAACAATACATAGTAAATTAACATCATAGTGCTAGAGCATTGTTCATCTTTTTTTTTTTTTTTTGAGAGGTTTTCGCTATAGGGCGTGTATGCTCGCCAGCCAGACAGAGAGAGACATAGAGACAGAAAGTGAGAAATCACCCCCCAGGGGGGATGGCCACGCCGTAATCCCTTCTCCTCCATTCTCCTCTCGGGATCTTGGGCACGCACGCACACGCGCCCAGCGTGAGTTTTAAGCCACCGAGTCCGGGACTCGAACCACGGTCGACTACGTGGGAGTCCAGCGACATAGCCATTACGCTAACTGCTGGTTCCCAAGCATTGTTCATCCTGATTCCCCACCTAAAGACTGCTGTCATCTTGTACGCGTCACATCTGTGCCTCCCAGGTGGACACTCATTAACTGGCTGCCTGGATTTGAATCCACTGTGGATCTGTGGACCAGTCAGCTTACCCTCCCCTGGAGAGGAAGTTGGGGAGAAGACCTGGTCTCACATTTTTGGAGTGTCATCTTTATGTGAGAATCTGTGTTATACTTTATAAATGTTATTTAGTTAAAAAAAAAAAAAAGTCTCAAATTTGGAAGTGCCAAGAAGAAGGAATACAAGGCAAAAGGAAAGGTTCCATGGTTTCTTAGATATTACACGGGAAGTTTAGGCTCAGGTCAGACTGTCTGTAGGTGGCACCTGCCCCCACACTCACTGTCCTCACTGGTTTCATTCACTGTGGCCTGTGTCTGGTCTCTTCTCCCTGCTGTGCACCTGGCTCTGCAGGGCATCAACGTCTGGGCGGTGGTGGCAGCGGTGGTGCTCCTCTCTGGCAGTGTGGACGACATCCAGCAACTGCTCTTCTGCCTCAGGAGACCTGGCTCCACTGTGACAGTGCCAGATATCACTGAGACCTTGTACTGCATTGCTGTGCTTCTCTATGCCATGAGGGAGAAGGGGATTAACATCAGCAATAGGTAACACCCTTCAGGAAGCGGGAGACACTGAGATAAAGTGGGAGGGTCTTGGGCCTGATTCCTGTCCCAGCCCTTCTCATTGGTATTCTCTTTGGGTAAGCTACGAAACCTGTGCTGTCCAACCTCAGTTTCTTTTGTAGGATGAGGGGACTGGAAGGTTGAAATGTGGAAACACAGGTAAGAGTACTTTGCAAATATAAAAATACCATAAAACTAAGATATCACTCAGATAGGTTTTGGATTCATGGGTATCAAAGCCTCATCGATCCCCCTATTGAGAGACACCTTCTTTATTCACACCTGGCTACATTTTTCTGGGAAAACACTAGGCTCTACTTCCTCTATTTCTCACTTTGGAAACTGACTATAAGAATTGTGGGAAAGTCTTGCCCACCATATCTTAGTGTGAAGAAGGTAGAGCTTAATTCAGAGTGACCTTGACGTTGTTGCTCGCCGGAGTGGCGAGATAAGCACAGTTTGGTTTTCAGAGGGACACATGCATTCAGCAGATATTGAGCACCCACTCCTGTCAGATAGTTGTATGGACACTAGCAATTCCACTGTGAAAAAGTTAGACAAGATTCTTGCTCTAGGTAGGAAAGACAGATCATAAGCAAATATATAAAATAAGAACATTTTAGTGTGTGTTAAGAGTATGTGTTGCAGAGAAAATAGAACTGAGCAATGTGAGAGTAGTGGGGAACATGCTTTTAGACTGGGTGAGGAAAAACTTCTCTGAGGAAATAACACCTGCATTGAAACCCAAGTGTCAAAGAGGAGCTAGCATCTTCAGATTTGCAGGGAGAGCATTTTTAAAGAAAGAGATCATTTAAGAGGCCAAAGATGGAAGTTAATTTGGTTTATATAAGAAAGAGAAATTTGGCATGGCAAGAATGCAGTGAGCAAGGAAAGACCAGCATGAGAATATGAAAAGTAGCAGGGGTCAGATGAGAAAAGATCTGGTGGGCCATGATTAGCAGTTAGAATAAAATTCAAAATATGGTGGGCATTTGTGGAAGGGCCGGAAGCCCCAGTTTGGAGTGGAGGAGACAGGCAGCATGATAATGCAGCTGATCCTGGAGAAACAGAAGCAACCCAGGGCAAGAAAATGGTCCCTAGAATTAGTGAACCCTAGGGGATCGTGGCTGGTGGCCCAGTCATTCTTGGTGAGGTACGAGGAGAGAGCATCATTCTCTAGAAGTGTTTGAGTGTATGCTGTACTGCTGGTTATGTTTCAGTTTATTAACTATGATTTATGTTGTGTCTGGCTCCATGGCAATGAGGCAAGGGGCAAAGAGCTTTATGATACAATTCAATTAATACATGCACAAATGATTAATGATGCCTTCATATGCAAATATGAACTCACAAATTACCTGCATGCTTATATGTTTATGAGGAACAGGAGGCATGTCTTAGTCAGCTTGGTCTACTATAGCAAAGTACCACAGACTGGGGCCTTCAGCAATAGAATTTTATTTTCACACGATTCAGACTGGGGCCTTCAGCAATAGAATTTTATTTTAAAATGATTCAGGAGACTGGGAGTCCAAGATCAAGGTGCCAGCAGATTCAATTCCTGATGAAGAACCAGCTTTCTGGCTTGAAGGTGGCTGTCTTCTTGTTGTGTCCCCATATGGCAAAGAGATAGAGCTCTGATATCTCCTCTTCAAATACACTAATTCTGCTGGATCAGGGCCTCATCCTTATAAACTCATTTAATCTTAATTACTTCATTGCTCCAAATAGTTATACTGGGACTAGGGCTTCAACCTAAGAATTTCAGCAATGTGGGGCAAGTGATAGGCACAGTTTAGTCCAAGGCATTATGATGTATTGATTTGATTTTTGTTGCATTTATATCTTGCTTTCTTTACTGAGAGAGAATACAACCAGAGACTGAAGTGTTGTATTATTAAAAGTACTTGTGGGCTAGCAGGTGGAGTGGTTATTAAGGTGCTGGGTCCCACATGGCTGACTGCATAGTTTGAGTCTCAGACCCAGCAACTTAAAAACCACTCTGGGTGCGAGCATATGTGTGTGTGTGTGTGTGTGTGTGCCCAAAATCTCAAGAGGAGACTAGAGAAAAAGGGGCTGAGGCATGGCCATTACCCATGGGGGATAATTACTCACTTTCTGTCTGTCTCTCTCTCTCTGGTGGGTGCATGCTCCCTATAGCAAAATTAAAAAAAAAAAAAAAGTAATTGTTGCATCAGAAAGACTGATGCTTGGAGATGAACTCCTCTCATTCTGGGGATGGGGACTTGACTGTGAGATTCATGAGTCAAGGAGTTGAATTTGGGCTCAGTGTGAACATGTAGAGGTTTGGGGTTGACTTGTGGTAGGCTATATTTCTGCTATCATGTGCCGTGCCTTGCCTTGCCTTTCCTTTCCTTTCCTTTCCTTTCCTTTCCTTTCCTTTCCTTTCCTTTGCATTTATTGGCTATAGAGTGTGTGCACTTACCAGAGAAAGACAGAGAGGGGAGAGGAGAAAGCACCCCCTAGGGGATGGTCACACCACCACCTCTTCATTTCTCTGTACTTGGAAATTTTAGGCATGTACACACATGATGAACATTTCTCAAGCCATGGGGTCCATGACTCAAACCTAGCAGTTGGCCATGTGGATCTGACTGCCTTAACCTCCAGGCCATGGAGCCAGTCCCTGTGCCTTTCTTGATTGAACTCTGTCTTCTTTAGGCCTCTTTTGTTATGTACAGTGTGTTTTCTCTAGACCTTGGTTATCATATCTTGTTATCCCTATAGCTTTCTTTCCTTTGGGACCTGGACAAATAGAATGTTATCCATGTTTCTAAACCAGTGTCACTCACAAGAAGTAGGGAGCAGAATTGATGGGGCTCAGAAAGATGAATTTTAAGTTTATCAATGAGGGGTTTTTTTGTTTGTTTTTGAGAAAGATTTTTGCTATAGGGCACATGCAGTCACCAGAGAGACAGAAAGAGACAGAGAGACAGAAAGCAAGAAATCACCCTCCAGGAGGGATGGCCATACTGCAGTCCCTTCTTCTCCATTCTCCTCTTGGGATTTTGGGCACGCACGCACATGCGCCCAGTGTGAGTTTCAAGCCTTCAAGTCTGAGACTTGTGGTCGGCCATGAGGGAGTCCAATGATGTAATCATTATGCCGTCTCCTGGACCCAGTAAGTATTGGTATTTGAACAAGAATCCTATACTAAGACAATCTTACTCTTTTTTTTTTTTTTGAGTATTGGCTTCACAGCTAATGTTTTCTTCCCAAAAGAGTCCACCTTGGCCTCTTCCTCATTGCAGATTTACACATAGAAACAATGAGTGTACCTCCCCAGAATTGTCTTTCCAAGAGTGCTCTTGTCAGCTGTAGACATATTTAACTTCTTTTCTTTTTCCCGTAAGATAATGGTAGGTAGTTTCTTTTTAAAAACAATAAGAAGCTTAAATACATCTGAAGAAAAATAAGATAACACATTATGACATGAATTTGAAAATCTCTAAATCTACTTTCTTTCCTATTAGGATTCATTACAACATTTTCTATTGCCTATATCTTCAGGAGAATTCCTGTACTCAGGCCACAAAAGTTAAAGAGGAACCATCTGTTTGGCCAGGGTATGTATAGGTATAAATGTGGGTTTGTTTTGTCTTCCATCGTCGACCCTTTATCATATTTAAAGAGGGACTAATGATTCTGTTGAGGCATATTTTATATATGTTAACTTCATCCATTTTAGGAGTGTGATTCAATTATTTTTAGTAAATTTACTGAGTTGTATGATCAGCATTATAACCTAGTTTAGAGCATTATTATCTCCTGAAGGAGAGACCTTTTTTGGTCAACTTTTATCTGCTTTGCTTATATGGCCTTTGGACAATCCACCCCCCTGGGCTTCTTTCTGTCTTTCTAATTTCTCTTCTGTAATGATTTCAGCAAGAAACCTATCCAGCTTACACATGAGCAACAGATGATTCTGAACCATAAGATGGAACCTCTCCAGGTGGTAAAAATTATGGCATTTGCAGGTAAGACAGCTCATACCAGATCTTTGGAATAAAGCACAGAGTCATGATGTGGTTGTTCTCTGACTTTCTTGGACTTTCATTGCTATATCCTCTTCCTGCTACCAGCCAGAGCATCTTTACCTGATCTGTTACCAACTACCTCAGTGAAATACACTCAAAAGCTGTTTGCCAAGGACTGCTTGTTTTCCCATACCGCTCTCGTGACATCATGCTGGAATTGCTTAGAGCAAGAGTTCACAGGCTTTAGTTTGTGTGGTAGATGCCACAGGGATTGATTGAGCCCATCATTTATCATTGTAATATGCTCAGTTTCTGGTTGTTTCTCCTGTTCAGAGTTTCAGTAGCTCCCTAATTTTGTAGGATGATGTCTAGAGGATCCTCCCTCCATTTAGTTGTAATCTGAATTTCTAAGCATATTGTCTTCCGTTGTCCTATGTCCATCAGCTAAGATGATCTGCTCACAGTCTTCTCAAGTCCATGGTTATTCTTTAGTCCGAACCTTTGCTCATGCTGTTGTCTTTACCCTGGATCCCTTTCTCCTTTCTGCCTAAATACCCAACTAACGAGAGTTTATGAAATGCCTGCTATGTTGCCTAAAACAGTGGTGATCCTACTAACATTCTGTAAGGTTGGTTGGTTAGCTTTGTTTTATTGATAAAGAAATCGAAGGTCAGGGAGACTTACTCCAGTTAAATAAGTAAGTAAGGTGGAGACAGAATTGAAAGCTAGGTCTGTGTCTCTCCAAAGACATGCTTTTTTCCCTTTGAGTCTCTCTTTCCCCCTCTCCCTCCTACTTTCTGTCCCCACTTTTTCTCTCTCTGTCATGCTTTATTGACATCTAGCATTTATATTTCTTCCTGATGAGGCTTCTTTAACTAAGGCTTCTTTAACTAGAGTCCTAGATGATCTCTGAACTCTTACTATAACTGATCACTATTAGTGATTTAGAACCTGATTCCATAGTTAGAACTCTCAACATGTGGATTTTCTAAATACTCCATATTACTTCATTAAGCTTTACATCAGCTCTGTTAAGTAGGGAA